AAGACACCAAAGCAGTTGAAGATGGTAAACACACTGTTTCATCAACTATGGAGACGATTTCTTCAGTTGATCATTGTGTTATTATCGTTGCTGCTGAAGCTCTCCTCAGCTTATGTTTAAATATCTTTCAACTTCAGATAACCAAAGTTAAACCTGAAACTTTTTAGTTCAAATTTCAAACTAAGCAAGTAAGGTGAGAATTGGTTGAAAACAACTTTGTGTTTGTGGTTTATGTTTTAAGGTGATTTTAGACCGGTTCAATCACTTGATCTTCTTTATTCTAAGAACTATTTAATAGTATATATAATCTCAGGGAAAGAAAAGAAATAACGAATACATGGTATTCTTAAACAAAATCTTAATTAATGACTGTATGACCACTTAATGATCTCGTAATTGCTAACAAATTGGTGTTTTCGCAAAATCAACGTAAATGGTAAGCTGTTAATGACAAAATTATCAAAAATGTGAGGACTGATTTTTCAAGTTTATATATATATATATATATATATAGATTTTCTCAGCCATATTCGCTTTTCTTTAAAACGAAACAACTTACAAAATCTGATAAACACATTTCATTCTATTTACATCCTTCGTTAACTTCAGCCCACCTAGCCAAATATTGTAAAATACGTGTGTACACGTGCAAATTACATTTTGTAACAGAGACGGCACCGCAATTCTACGACCCCTCATAGTCCCGTAGTCGGGGATATCAAACATCCATTTAGCTCCTTCTTTAGTGTGTAATCCAACGTTCTTCACTGCAATCTGATCTATTGTCTGTGGGGACTTTGATAAAACCTAAAATCAATCTGAATACATTTAAGAAGCACCACACTTGATCTGTTGAACATTTGTCTTTAGAGCTTTTTAGCCTAAATTGTGAACATTAGCAGAAGACCTTAGGATATCAGTGAGCTAATAAAACGAAGGCATGCACAGCCTGCTAGAGTCTCAGAAAATTGTCAGCCCAAATCTCTCTCCGATCGTTCATGTACATATATACACAGGAAAAAAGATAATATCATGGGAGAACATAATGCATTTCAGACTTGATAAGATCAAGAGTCTTTATGCCTTCATTGTTGTTGCCCGCCAGGAGATAGGCTAATGAATCTCTGCAATAATCATCAGTATACAGAGCTAACTACACCCACACCTAATTAAATACCAAAGGGATCGTAGATTACATATCAGATTTTTTGTTCAAATCTGAAAAAAATATGAATTTGATTTAGGTAGAAGTTTATATGTCCGGTTGTAAGACCAATTTGTAACCGGAACCAAAACGTCAAACTAACAAAAGATATCAACAATTGATTAAGAGGATGAATAGGAAGGAAGAATACAAAACATTGTTTTTTCTCTCTCAGAAATGTGCAGAGAGAGAGACCAGACAGAGAAAGTTCTCTCCATCAATATTTGCAAGTTTATATATGTATTAAAAATCAAAATATACTCAACAACGCAAAAAAAATTCATAACGTTTAATGAACATTGTAAAACAGAATTTTTTTTTGTTATTAGAAAGGGTTATGATGAATCTGAGATCAGATCTAACCAAGGGATAAGCTTTACCCCCTTTATAGGTGGAAAATCACCGACTGAAAAAATAATAAGAATTATTGAATGAGGGGGTGTGGTTGGAGTGGGTCGAAATAGTTAGGAAGTCTTTATTGGCTTTGAATAAATGGAACAGAAATAGCTCGAAGAAGAAGAATCGAGAACGAAACGACACTGATTTACACGTCCTCTCAGAACTACATTGTAGGTAGACATAAACAGTTTCTGGAAAAGAAGATGAACCCTAAGAATGAGGAAGATGAAAGCGAATAACGGACCAAAGTTTTGTTTGGTTCTCGGCCCAAAACATATTATAAAGAGACTACGAATAATAACACGTAAGCCCAATAAGTAAAAGAAAAACCAGCTATTTTTTTTTGTTTAGAAGGACACATGTCACTCTCTCCTTCTTCTAATTAGTGACATGGCAAAGGCAGGAGGGAATAAACTTAACTTTATAGTAATAGATTTCAAACCGTAAAAGAGGGTGAGTGGCGAAGTGCAAGAATCAAGAAAAGAATATGGAGAAACAAACGTAGAAACGTAGATTTAGTACTTTACTTGAGACGTTTAAAACGTGCAATGACTGCAATACTTAACGTGAGATGTATTTCTATGTAAAGGAAAAGTACAAAAGTAAGAATAAAAAATATCCTATTGTTGAACGCTTATATATATATAACTCATGTTTGTATAAGTCACAATATCACAAACAACTAAACTCTCAATATAGTATAGCCATGGAACATCATCCACCTTCTCGCCTCATTTGCCCTATCATACGACTCAAATACAATTCTTTTTATACCGACTATAGAAGAATTAGTGGAAAGCGTTTTCGCATGATTGAAAATTCTTATTCCTTGAACGACGTCTCTTCACATGATGAACACCGCCTTGAAAGCTGCCGTGAACACCGCCTTGACCCCTTATATTGGTGCAACAACAAAGAATCAGAAGATGAGCCTTCTTGGTGTGGTGCATGTCAATGTAAAAAATCCAGTACAACCTATTACTATTGCAATGATTGTAATGTATCCTACCACAAAGAATGCGTCGAGTCTTCCCCTCTAATCAAATCTCCTCACCACCCTAAACACCATCTCCAACTTATCGTGCATGTACCTGATGTTTCTCAACTCCATATTTGTGAGACATGTTATTGTTCGTACTGTGGATCAAGTTGTGGAGGTAATCTCACAACATTATTTTACTACTGTTTTATTTGTGAGTGTAGTTTGGATCCCGTTTGCGCAGTAAGACCCAAGTTCTTGGACTACCAAAAAAGACATGAGCATACTCTCAACCACTTTCCCAGAAAAAATGATTTAATATGTGACGTTTGTGGGTTAGTTGATAGCAAATCTCTCACATATGTTTGTCTTGAATGTGGTTTCGTTGTCCATACAAAATGTATCTACTTACCATTTGTCATAAGAGTATCCCGTCATGACCACCGTCTCTTTTTTACATATTCTTCTTCTATAATATTGTTTTGTGGAGTTTGTCATCAAAAGGTTGACGAAAATTTTGGAAAATATTATTGTACGAAAGCTTGCACTTACGTAGTGCATTCCAAATGTGCAACTCGGAGAGATGTGTGGGATGGAAAAGAGCTCGAGCAAGAACCAGAAGAAGAGGAATATGAAAATTTAAATTCTTTTGAAGTGATAAGTGATGGAATTACACAACATTTCAGCCACTCACATCACATGAGGTTGGAAAAAAGGACCACTAGCATATTGTACGATGAAAATAAGCGATGTCAAGCATGCGTATTTCCATTTTATGGTGGTGATGTTTACAACTGTATAGACCCCAAGTGTGATTTTGTACTTCATGAAGCATGTGCAAATCTTCAGCGGAAAAAACAACATATGGCACATCCCTATCCATTTATTCTACAAGTGAGTGACACTGAAGCTTTCTTTTGTGGATACTGTAATCGTTTGACGTGTGGTTTCAGATATGTGTGTTCTGAAGGGGGTGAGTCTATAAATTTAGACGTGCGATGTGCTACAATATCTGAGCCATTCGACCATCAACTTCACCCACATCCTTTATTCCTAAGCAATGAACTTTGAAAATATAAACCATGTTCAATGTGCAAAAAAAGGAGTTCTAGAACTTTAAACTGTATTGAATGTGACTTCTCATTGTGCTTCTATTGTGCTACACTCCCATATAAAGTGAGATATGAGCATGATGAACATTTTCTCATCCTTTCTTACGAAGAGAATGCAAGTCCCAATTGGTGTGAGGTTTGTGAGGAAACTTTAGATTCATACAAATGGCTTTATACATGTAATGAATGTGGGATCGCATTCCATATTGCATGTTTGATAGGGAAATGTGCATTTTATGTCAAGCCTGCTCAAAATCTCTCGTTTGGTGGTGAGAATTATAATATACTTCTGAGCAATGGCCTCACTCGGCCCATTTGCACAGAATGTCAAAAGCGTTTCCAAGATAAACTAGTTATCCAATTCTTGGATGATGACGAAGAAAATATAGCTTGTTATCGTCATTGGGAAGTGTGCGAGACTTAAAGGTCAAGAATTCAAGTGTTGGTGGAGGAAAAAACAACAACCAAGTTGACATGTTCTGGTTGATATTTTAGGCTTCCTGGTTACAAAAGAAAAGAAAAGAGAAAAATATGTATTGTGTGTTGTTTTTAAGAGTACATTAAAGTAGTTTGTATAATATTTATTTTTACTTTTAATACAGTGTAATCGTTGACATTCTGTATGTGCAGTATAAGAAATACTAAGATGGAGAATTCAGCTCATAAAAATAAATACTAAGATACTTTAACACAATTTATACCGAGTAAAGAATAAAAGTGTTCCAAAGTGTGAAAAGTTACTGAGGTGAGGGGATTACTGGGGAACCTGAATCACGAGACACTTCTCACTCATAGACTTTAGCTGCAGAAAACAACACCAACATCAGCGATCGAACCTTTTATTCGTGATGCAGCCTTATTTGCTGGGTAATGACTATATTCCTTTTAGTGAAGCTCTAACTTATATTATGTCAAGTTACAAAAAAAAAAAAAACTTATGTTATGTCATGAAGCTCTAACTTCATCCTTCACTTACAAGCCCGGAGCCCTAGCTTCTTATTGTCAATTTGAGGCCGAGGTGATGTTTGAAGAAGCAGAGAACGCTAAAGCTTCACCACACACACGGAGTAAGACATGGCCATTTCGAAGTAGTACAACAAGAACAGAAAAAATACTATGTCGTGCAAAATGCAGTATCTGTAGAAGTAAGGCAGAGGATGGGAATATTATACACGCAACACCTAACTCGTGTCAAGAAAAAGCAAGATGGTGTAGAACGAAAGGGTGGTTTATGAATATAGGTGCTGCAGTAATGTCAAAACGAAATGAAAGAGCACCTGATGGTCTTGTCGTGGATGCACACCTCTCAGATGGTTTCCTTCATCTCATACTCATCAAAGTACTTGTGGTAATGCCTTCTATATCTTCTTTGCTTCTTCCAATACACAGCGACATACTTGGTGTATGACAATAGTCTTTTCCTTATGGGTTTCTTTATGGTTGCTGGCACCTCACTGAGCTTGCTAAAATAAGGCGGGAATCTTTAAACTTTGAGTTTGTGGAATATCACAAGGTTTGTTTAATTTGATGACGTTTCTTTTTGAGATAGATCCCCATGTCTTGGGTTCATGTCTGTTCTGATTATCTCCACTCAAATGTATTGGGGGGGGGGGGGCTATGCAGACACAAGCTTTCACGTTTACTTTGATTCCGTACTATGCTCATAAGTCCGGCCATTCAAATTTTAACTCTTTCGGTTAGATCGGATTCTAACCAATGTTTAAAAGCGCCCAAAAATAACTTTTTTTTTTGTAACACCAAGTGATTATATTAAAATAAAAGCCATACGGGCTGAAACGAACTACAAGAGGAGCCGTGCTCAATGGTGAGAAGATAACAAACGGAGGTATACTCGACGGTAGAACAAAGCTAGAGAACATTACGAAATAAGTGAAGATAAAACCATCTCGGGGCGAGACATGCTCAGCGAAATGAAGAAACCCAAAAGGAAGCTTCACTTTTGTTCCCATGGCGATTGCTCGAAAGAACAATTGATAGTCGAAAACGACGTTGAAACACCTAAAAGAAGCCGCTAAAATGTTGACTGTCGAGAACCTTAGGTGAGAAGCTCTAGAACCGTAGGCAACATTGAGAGAACGAAGTCCTATCTGACTTGATATAACGCTGAAATTAGCATAAACAGCTTTAAACCCAACAAGACTTACCGAAGAGACTAGGTGAATCTCGAGCTCTAGCTTTGCCTCCAAAGAGGCGCTTAAGAGAAAGTTTGATGACATAGCTAATGGTTGAAATAGGTTCAAACCTCGAAACTCAATATTACCGTATCGAGTCGAGTAATTTGTGACCAGAAACCTAAGCATACTGTCATCACACTCGTCCAAACAGAAAGTGTGAGAGCAAACATCGGATAAGAGGTAAAAAACTTCGGATTGGTTGGACACCACTCCGGTTCGAAAGTCGCTTAGTTGACACTGTGAAAGACCGTCGATGCTTGAGACGGCATATTGTGATGGACTCGCAACGATGATGTAGCTTGTCAATCCGGCGAGTTCACCCTCTTGCACAGTAAGGTCAGCGACAAAGAGACCGAGAAAACAACAAAACCGGTTTTGTGAAGAACCGTCGATGCTTGAGACGGCGTAGTGTGATAGAGACGCATCGATGAAGTAAAACTGAACAAATCTGGCGAAACAACACTCTTGCACAATAAATCCGATAGTGGAGGAAGAGAAGCAGCCGTCGAAAATGGAGGGAAACGTCAGAGGGTCGTGATGATGCGACCGAGAGATTGTCTCTCGTCCGATAATGACACATTCCGGAGATAACATAGACGTCGGTAGATCTGGCCGGTTACGAACAGAAACGAGGAGGTGACGAGGACCAGATCTGGTGAGTCCACCCTCAAACGTAGCAGCTCCGGCGTTTCTCCACTCATCAATATGAAATACGGTGACGACTATGGGATGAGCAGAGGAGGCGACGACTATGGGATGAGCAGAGGAGGAGGAGGCGATGGTGGAGTGAGAAGAGGAGGTGGCGGCGAATGGCTTAACAGAGGAGGCAGTGACGAAGACACAACCTTGAAGTGTGGCGCAGCGGAGGAGACGGTGGTGAACAGAAAGATGTACGGTGGAGGAGACACAAGAACAGAGTAGCGGCGTTGACGGAGAAGACATTACAAGTAACCAGAAGACAGCGAGAACCGAGAGAGGAGAGGAGTGGCGGTGACGCCGGCGAGCTACGCCGCCGGCGTCAAGAACCATTGCTTTGTGCGGCTACCTCGAAAAGTGGGTCAGAGAGGAAAACCAATTAGGGCGAACTCAAATAAAATATTTCGTACATACCATCCCAAAAATAACTTTTTAAAATTAATAAAAACATACTCAAAATATATAAATTATACAAAATTTTAATTAAAAAATATTTAAACTACGTAAACTATCTAAAAGATATATATAAAATAAAAAATAAAACAAACTAGCTAGCTCATTTTTCATCAAACGTCTCTAGTTAAATCGCAATGTGTTTTTACTACCTGATACAGGGTCGTACCGTACGGTATAACGTACACGCCCTGGTCCTTTCGATCATTATGTCAGATCTGTTTTCCATACTTTATATCTGTTATTTGTTTGACATAATTTTTCTCACATGAACGTACGTGTAACTTCCATACACTGACAACATTTAATACACACAGACCTTCGAACAAATGTACACACGTCAAGTTGTTTGACTAGTCTCAGGGCCGGTTCTGGGCCAAGCCTAATGAAACATTGGTCTTGGGCCCCCAAATTTTTTGAAAAAAAATTCATGCATATAGACCCTTAAAATTTTTTGTTAGGCCCCCAAATCCATAAAAAAAAAGTTTTTTTTAGGTAAAATTGTTAAAAATTGGCCTTAGGCCCCCTTATTTTCAGGGCCGGCCCTGACTAGTCTACCATGGATTACATTGAGATACCGTTGTTTAGTCGAACAGAAGCTTTTCAGTTTTGATAAAATTGTCGAGATGACGTTACACATTTCTTTTGCTATAAAATGATTTTTTTAATACTTTTTAGTACTTAAACTGATGCTTTCCAGACTGAAGTTGAAAAATGGCATGATTGTCATCTATGTTCATGATAAAATAAAAAAATTAGACCAATAGGTGTGCCCTAAAAAAAGTAATATTATTGTTTTGTATTGAAACGAAAATAAATGAAATTATCGTGTGAGGAGAAGAGAGGAGAGGAAGGTAATAATAAATTCACATGCAAGTGGGTATGTGTTCTGCTTTCCAAAAAAAAAAGTGGGTATGTGTTCTCACTTCTCATGATAAAGCTACTCCTTGTTCTCTAAGAGTTCATGTACATACAAACATACACTTATTTCTATTATAAGCTAAATATGAGTCATTGACATATATGAATCACAAAGAAGACAATCTAATACACGAGAAGCTATAAACTTTGATTAATTAAACACTACACGTGTGTGTGTATATTGTATATTTTTGCTGTGTTGGCATATATACTAAGATGTGGTTGGTGCATAGATATGCATTGTCATCACCAAGTGTCCTTAATGATCTTCCACCCTCACCGCCCCTAACTGTTTTCCTCCTTTCTCCATTATTTTCATCTCATGCATCCTCACTCACTTGCATTTTCCCAACTATTTTTCTTTCTTGTTACAAAAATAACTAAACGTATTGAATATCGAAAATTTAGATTTTACTGTCCTTTGTATGGTTGTATATATCCTTGGCGTAAAAACATATACATACGTATACATCATTCCCAAATCGTAGTGATAAAAACTAAAACACCACATCATATGTTGTTGACTTTGCTTCTTCTTTTTCATATAGTATTTTTAAAGTCCTACTAAAAGTATTCATGAATATACAAGCTCGGCGATGATTGAAAAAATTATTTCGATTTCCGACACTTTTTAAATTAATACATTGATAATTTAGGCACGTATGCCGTACGCGGTACGTCTACATAACCAACAACTTGTGTACAAATCAAGATATGTTTTAGTTTAATTTACTGAAGAGTTGTTTTGATGATAAATAATATATCATCAAATCGTTGACGTGTTACTTTTATCATTGAAAATGTGATTTTGTAGACGTAAAAGCATCATTATATTTTGTTTTAAAACTGAAAATGTGAATTAATTCACATCAGTTTTAATCAAAATGTGTTTAATTCACATCAGTTTTTATCATTGAAAATGTGTTTGCTTCAAAACAAACTAATTATTTGCTAGTTTTTTTTGTGTGTGGTAAAAGTGATATTTTATGCATCAATTGTATATAGAACCAGTATATCTTTCGTACTTGGTTGGACATTTGACATTTGTCTATTTTATTTTGGAGTTTGTCTCACATTATATAGTTTCTAGATCCCTAAATTAACCAGAAAAAATATATTAACTAATCAAACAGATAAAAGACTCCATGATCTCATCTTACTTAAAAATAAGACTACAAACGGTTACAACCCTATCTTTCACCATAGGTTATAATCTATATTTAAATTATTTTTTTTTTTTTTGAAACATAAAATATTTTGTCTAGAAAATATTAAACTCGACCAATAGTATCTCTTTCTCTAACTTTGGAGTATCTCTCCACCTGTATAAATAGCCATCTTCACAACATTTACACCATCATCAAGTCTCTCAGCTTTGTAGTCTACTCTCTTCTTACTCTAGCTCCTCCATTTGAATAATCTCACTCACGAAGATCTTCAAAATGGCAATTAATCCATCCATTCTCCTAACCATAATACCTCTCTTGCTCCTCTTGAGCCCCACCAACGCTGGGATCCCTGGTGTCTACTCCGGCAGCTCTTGGCAAACCGCTCACGCCACTTTCTACGGTGGCGACGACGCTTCCGGAACCATGGGTCAGAACTCAGACCACACTCTCTTTAAACACTTATTCCAAAAACCACACTTCATTAATCATACCAAACTCTCTAAAACAGAGCACTCTGTTTTTCTCATTTAGGTGGCGCATGCGGTTACGGTAACTTATACAGTCAAGGATACGGCACGAACACGGCGGCACTGAGCACGGCGCTTTTCAACAGTGGCTTAACCTGTGGTGCTTGCTTTGAAATCAAATGTGTCAATGATCCTAAATGGTGTCATTCAGGCAATCCTTCGGTCTTTGTAACCGCAACTAACTTTTGTCCTCCGAACTTAGCTCAACCTAGCGACAATGGTGGCTGGTGCAACCCGCCACGCGCTCACTTCGACCTAGCCATGCCAGTTTTTCTCAAGATCGCTGAGTACCGTGCCGGCATTGTCCCCATCTCTTACCGCAGGTATATATATGTATACTTCACAGCTAGACTTTAAAGTGTTGTGTCGTGAATATATGCATTTTCCTTTTCAGTTCATTCGGCTTTTCGGATATATAGAAACAAAAAAACTTTACTTCATCAGTTTTTAGTAGAATACGCTTTAGATAATTTTTTTGTTTTGTTTTAAATAGATGACATTATATTAACTTTTTAATGTTGCACAATTTGTTTTTAGAGTAAATAATGATTAGGTAGATAGTTGACGATGATTTTGTTTACAAAATATATAAAATTAAATATGTGTATCAATCTAAAACGTCAAATCTCTATAATATTATTTGAGAAGTCAGTTCCTATGTGTCGTTCTCACGTTTACTTTTACGATGGTTGATTACATTGATACTCTTAATGAATTAAAAATAGTTAAAATAGTATTATTAATTCTTTTATTTGGTTTCCTTTTCAAAAATTTCCAAAAATATATGTAATAAAAAGGAAGTTTTTTATAAAGTCGTAAAAACAAATTGAAAACGAAAATTATATGTATATATAATATGATTTCATAAAAAAGGAAAGTTCACAAAATAGTAATAATATATTTAAAAATATTTTTAATTAACATAAAATATACTTTTAGAGTAATAAAAATATTTTATAATTAGTATTATTGAATTTTTATTTATTTTTCATATATTTAATTGACTATAATAACTTTCAATTATAGAAAATTATCTATAAATTATATTTTACTTATATAATATTATTTTCAAATACATTCACAATTTTATGTAGTGCTTATTTTAAGAGATATTAAAAACAAAAAAAAATAAATTTAACAATAAACATCGCTTGATCAAATAATTTTATCATTATTAAAATTATTTTTTTCTTGATATTAAATTTTATTTTAAATTTTAAATTTTTATGTTTGTGAAACTAAATATAACCATAATCAAAATACCAAAGCAAATTTGAATTTCCAATTTTAAGATTATTTAAAATAAATTTTAGTTTAAATTCAATAAATCTAAAGCATAAAGTTATTTAGAATTTATAAATATTTTAATTATTGTAAATATTGAGATGTGTTCATGAGGTTCCAAAAATGTATCAACTACTTATGCATGTAACCTTTTATTGATCATAGGATAACACAAAACATATTAACAAATGAAAATAAATATTAACCAACTCTTAAATTTTTAGTTCTTTTGTAAAATTTATATATATGCGTGAGACTTTAGAATAATATCGTTATATTAATTTACGTATTTTGGAATCAGACACTTTAGTTAATTTTTAATTTATTCTAACCCAATATATCTTAAGTTATACATAATTTTACTAAAATATATTTATATATCTAAGACAACACCCACTATATGCAAATATGTAATTAATAAAAAATTAATATATTTTAAAATATTATAGTTGAGTTCAGAGATACAATCCAATTTATCCAAATGATAACTAAATCAACTGTAAAAACAACAAAATCGACTAGATATAACATATATAAAATTAAAGTAATATAATATTAAGTAATATAATATTATTAATATAAATGATACATACAAATTATAAATTAATTGAAAATTAAAACTAAATAGTAATCAATTATTATCATATATTTACTTTAAAAATATTTATACCCGTGCATGAGCACGGGAAAATCACCTAGTAATAATAAAAAGAGAGGGAATATAACGGTTAAACTTTTGGGTATTAGACATATAAAATGTAATGATTCAAATTACTAAATTTGAGAAATGTGGGATTATTTATAGGGTGGCATGTAGGAAGAGTGGAGGGATAAGGTTCACGATCAACGGTAACCGTTACTTCAATTTGGTGCTGATCACAAACGTGGCTGGAGCAGGAGACATCCTGAGGACGAGCGTGAAAGGATCAAAGACTGGTTGGATGGGTTTGACTAGGAACTGGGGACAGAACTGGCAGTCTAATGCTGTTCTCGTTGGTCAGTCACTTTCATTCCGTGTCACAACCAGTGACCGTAGAACATCTACGTCATGGAACATCGTACCTTCCAACTGGCAGTTTGGACAAACCTTTGTCGGAAAGAACTTCAGGGTCTAAAGCGAAGAAGCTCTTTTATCAAGTGTGAGATTTATGACTTTGTATGTTTCTGTATATCATTTTTTTTCTCTTTACTGTGATCTGATGTGGCTGTTAAGTAAACATCCCACAGCTCATAGCCTTCCCGTGATGTCGAATTTGATTAACATTTCATTAAAACTGTAATGTATCATTTATATAGCATAGTAGCTAAACTGTATTATGTGTTCGTTTCCATATGTCATCCTTGTTGCAACCCTACACAAATTGAATTTTTAGGCTTATTTTCCACAAGAAATAATACATTTGGAATGATGGTTGTATCGAATTGCATATCCTAATCTAATCACGTGGACTGATGATACTAAACCCACTTAATTAAAAGTGCTCTTCTACAAAGTTACATTGTAAAAACTCAAATGGTTCTCTTTGGATTAAACTTTACACAGTTAAGAGGGGATTAACAAATCTAAATGATAATTTTTACTCTCAAAACTTTACAGTCCGACTATGAACCTATCTATCCGAGTCTAAGTAATTAGTGCATTCTTTTGGTATCTTAATAGTTGACCGAATTATTATCTTTCAATTCAAGGAAATTTATTATGTCCTTTTTGATTAAAAGTTTTTTTTGGTTGGACAGAATCAGTGCTAATAAGAAAACTAAACCAGCAATGAAAATAAAATGCATAAAAGGGCTCATATCAAGTGTACATTGGAAGGACAGTCATCGAGGGTAAGGGATGAAGAAAAAATTAACCCAAAATCGAAAAAGGGAAAAAATAAAATCTATTTTCTCCATCAATTTCGATTAGAGTTTATTTTTTCTCCAATCCCATGAGAGTTTTGTTCATACTCCCCACTCAATCCTCTCTCTTTATAATCATCGCCCACAAACAATCTTTGAAAACATATACAAATTAAAATTCAGAGATTACTGTAATCAGAGAAAACGAATCAGAACAACGATGACGAAAGACGGCGACTTTATGCGACCGTCTGAAGCTTAACACACGTTCTTATACTGAATTATAGGATGGGCTTAGGGTTTTATTATCGGCCCACTCTTAATGGGCTTGATTCAGGTAACTAAACCGGTTTATGATATGCCCGGTTAGAGGAGCTTCTTTTATCTCTCTCCGGTTGCTACTACTGATTTTCCTTCAACATCTCTAGGCTTCTGGTAGGTGTACTTTCACTGATCTTATAACATTTTGTTTTGATACATGTTTGTAAAAATAAATTTATTATAAAATACAATGAGATATACACGATTTTGGACAAACAATTTAAACAATAGATGTTAACTACAATTACAGATACAATAGATGTCAAAGTGATTTTTTAGCTTAATGATATTGTTGACACTAAAGGTAACACCTGATAAATAGAATTATGCAATATTTAAAGAAGATGGAACTAATTAAAACTGGCTTTGCTTCCATCCACCAAACTCTTCTCCTTCCATTCCCTTTTCTTGCTGAAGATTGTTCAATAAAAATAGCGTAAATAAGAATGTTTAATAAAATTTACTTAGGAAAAAAAAAGTAAAACAGTAAAAAAGAAGAAGAGAAAGTACCACAACAGAGTAAGAAAGTCCAATGAGAATCTCTCCGACAAAGGAGAGATCAGAGTCAACAACGTTGTACTTGGTCGGTCTTAGCTCCATCTTGCCTTTCTCTACTCCCATTTCAAGTAGCTCTTTCACATATACCCTGTTTGTTCATTTTTATTCATACATGTTATTCTGTATACTTCAAGCAAGTACATAAGCAACTCTAATGTTGTAATATAGTATTTGATACTTACGTAGCTTCACCAATAAAATCGTCCGCGGTGAAAGTGTCATGGTCCATGACTTTGATGATGAGTTTGTAGTCCGTGCCTGAGCCGGGAAACTCTACTCTCCATTTCAGTTTCTCATCCCATGTTGGATTTCGACCTCCATCTTTGCCATTAAAATAACATAAATATGATTCAAATCTTTAGTAATTTATTCTGTAAAAACAGATATGAAGGTGTATGGGATCACTATATTGATAGTGGTTATGATTTAAATTATTTAGTAAACATTGTTATAATTAATACATTTAATATGTAGCTTGGCGCATTGATAATTAATTAAAAATGAGGCTGGCCAGACAATCTTACACGTGGAATGAAGAATACATTCAGAGAAACCTCCAAACAACAAATTTTCAAGATTTAAAAACCATACTAGAAAAGAAAAGAAACAAAATACATTATATACATAGTTGAGTCATTTATGTATGTTATAGTTCTTCCATTATCATAACGTAAAACCACAGTGAATGTCATTATGAATGCTTTTGGAAGTTAGTATAATTCTAGCACATGCACTATCATAACGTAATACCATAATTAAACACTCATTTATTTAATTATGAAATATTCTTTGAGAACCCATGAACGATATGTTCTTATTATATTTGGAAAACTAGAACAGCCATTGATAGTTAACCAGCATGTGGAAATTTAAAATTAAATTTACCACGTGACAATCTTATTTCTCGAAGAAAAGACACAATCAATTACTTTATTTCTGACATTTTGATTTCCCCAGCATTTTTTTAAAAAAAGAATAATGATAATAATGGAGAACTAGTCTGGCGAATGAAACAATTCAACTCAAAACTAAAAAGAAAAATAAAGCTGTGAATGGAGGAAATGGAGAGAATGCAATTAGTTAATGATACCTTTAACAACGCTGCTCTTGCGGGTTTGTCCTTTGTATTGGATCTCAACATAAGGATCTATCTTATCTAAACAAGAATTAAAATCAAACCATGTCAAACTAAAAGCCAAGAAAAAAAAAGAAGGTTATACAAATTGAAAACAAATCTGAGAGAAGATTGAAACTAGTAACTTACTAAGAAAATCAGATCGTTTGAGACCTTTGCCACTGATCAGGTTAACCTCGAGGATCCCCACAGCCATCTCTGGAAAGTTGTTACAAGAAGTTACTGAGTTTTGTTTGATTAAACGAAGAAGAAAGAATGAATGATAAAAATCTCTAGCAATAATGAAAGTTGTTGTGTCAGATAAGAGTCTTTAAATACAACAAGCAAGAAGAAACGCAGACCTTGTGCTTTCCCCTCTATGTAATTTACTACTATTTTCCTATTTCAAACATAGCCCGCGTCGTGGTTTCAAGACTTGGTCCAAGCCAAAACATTTCTGGAGTGAAGACCTCAAAACCTTAGTTTTTTTCCATCTGGTCAACTAAACCAAATGACAATATTACCCCTCTTCCGAGAACAAGATTGACGTACGACGAATGGCTTCGTGAGAATTTAATACCAACCAACCAAAAAAAACCAAAGTCCTGGGGACTTTTGTCCATAATAGACCAAAGAAACATCAAAATGTCGTATATGGCTTCTACTTCTAGACATCTTTTTACTAAATTCTCAAGGCTGCTGAAATATAATATTATAGTCGTCGACCTTGACTTCATCAGTAGATGGAGATTCCTAGGAACATAAAAAAAAGTTTCTTTAATCAAAAGCAAACTTCTTCACACAAATATTAAAAAAAACCACAAACTGAGAATCTCTCAAGTACCATCACAAGACGAATATGTTTAACAAGCCAAAGTAAGGAGTTCTCGAGGACACAAGAGTTCACTACTAAAGAAACACCATAGAGAGACAGAGAGTTGCACAAAGTTTTGTTCTCTTTCTTTTAACATACATAGTTTTCATCTTGGAGACGCTTCCACGGATCTAGACCTGGATCCTGATGGTGACCTTGAAACCTCTCTTCCACCACGACGCCTTTCCTCTGGTTCATAGTCCGGTTTTCTAGTAAAAAGACCAATCAATGTCCCAAAACAAGAAAACGTGAAGTCAATTCCCAGGAGCAATAAGAAAATCAGAGATAGTGATGTTTCACTTACTCTCTAGTCTCATGATCTCCATTTCTGTCCCGGTCAGCAGCAGCACCACCTTCATAGCCAGGGGAATAAGACTTGCGACTGTATTTTCCATCTTCTTCTCCTCGAGGAGGACTTCTTAGTGGTGATCGTGGACGTTCTTCTTGTCTTCTCCTTGGAGATGCTGAATAGTCTGCTCCTCTTCGTCTTGGCGCAGGAGAATAAGACCTGTTACAACATCATGTCAATCATATTGACTTGAGAATGACGTAAAAAGGTGTATATAGTTATGAAACGTGTTATTACCTAGATCGGCGTCTGCTCCTAGAGTCAGATGGACGACGGGGAGAGCGTGATCTAGAGATTGAACGTGAACGAGACCGTCCTGAGATAAACAAACATAGAGATACTCAAGCAGGTACATAAACAAGTGCATCATAATCTAGCTACTCATAGAAGTTGAAAGCTTGCTATTGAAGCACAAATAAAGCGCATATTCAAAGGAAAAAAAATAACTAACCATGAGAACGACCTCTAGAGCCAGAAGGTTCCCTGAAAAATTCAGACAATAAACTTCAATGTATAAACAATAAACTTACAAGTATCACTGACGAAGAGCTATGATTGATAACTTCTTTGCTTTAGCAATCAGAATATGGTAACGTACCTGCTACGAGTCCTAGTCTTCACACGCATCTCCTCAGGCCTTTTCCTAGACTCTGAAGCAACAACCACAGTTATCTCTCGACCACCAAATACTCTCCTGTTCATGCTTCTTTGAGCCTCCCCAGCATCATATGCATCAACAAACTCCACAAAAGCAAACCCGCGAGGTTCCCTGCGTCATTCATTGGAAGCTTATCGTTCCAGGTCGTTGATGGCGCTGATAAAAAAAACACATAACACCAGAACAACACTATCTTTACCAGCAAAACCACCCTATGTTCATCCACTAAACTGTATACCTTTCTCATATGCCTCAGCTTCTGAGAACTTCTAGAAAATGCAGAGCTCTACTTACTCAATAGCTCCTCTTTTCTTAACACTTCAAGCACAGTAACTCAGAAAGAAGAAAAAGATATCTTGTAATATGAAGTACCACTTGATCCCAAAGTAAATCTCTCTACTTCTCTTCAATTCACCTTCCCCAATAAACTTCTATAGATTGAGTAATATAGTGTATGGCTTCATAAGTAACATCTTCCATAGAACATTCTTCATTTCCAAACAAAAATCTTCACTAACATCTTTTTGGACCAATAAGCTAAGCATTATTTTCAAGAGGGCTTCAATCAAATATGGGGCTTGGTCTTGTTAATAACTTCAAGCCAACATAACCCCCTGGGGAAATCATTCCAACATTTAATTTACCAAAGAAAAAGCAATCCGAAAAACAGCTTCAACCAAAAGGGTCTCTCTACTTACCTCAAAAACTTAGTTCAATCAATAAGAGTGAGGAGAGAAACTGAGCCTCAATGCTCATATCTCCTCGAGAACTTGACATATGAACACTATTTGTTCATTTACTCAAATCTTACAGCACAAGGCAAATTCAATCAGTAACGAAGAATCACATACTAATCAGCACATAAATAGTCTATCTATAAAGATTAAGTCACATTCACTATCACTTCTATCACAAAAATAGTAACTTAAAAAAAAAAAAATAGTAACTTTGAAAAAGAACAGAACAAAGACTTACCCTGAGTAATAGTCTCTAGGGATATAGACATCCCTCACAGGACCAAACCTCTCAAAAGGAACACGAAGCTCTTCTGGTCTACCAAAATCCGAAACAAACAAAAATCAAGAAAAATCTCTCAAAAGATAACTGAAAAATTCTAGCCTTTACCTGCAATCAAGAGGAATGTTTCGAACAAGAAGACTTCCATGTCCCTTACGTCCACCACCACCATATCCACGTCGCGGAGGAGGAGGAGGAGGGCTTCTGCCACGACCACCGTATCCTCTCCTCGGAGGACTGTAATAAGGCGGGCTGTATCTCCTACTCATCACTACAACAACAAGAAACGGTTTCAAAACGCGAGATCAAGATTTAAAGCATGAATCTTGGAATGAAAAAGGGCGAAAATTACCTGCGACGGAGCAATTGAGAAATAAGCAGACACAGACAGATCTGAAGTGAACGCCAAAGCTCTTCTCTTTCTTTCGAGGAGACAAGAGGAGAGAGAGTAGGTGACTTCTGTTTGTTTTGGAGGTTAGGCCCATAATACAATTGGGCTTGGCCTTATACAGTACTGCGATTTGCTTTCTTTTAGTATTTTCCGAATTGTATTTTCATTTAAAATAAATTTCATTTTTTTTTTTTGTAAAAAATAAAACTTTTAAAGGATTTAAATAGTGTAGGATAAATAAATGTTTTCTTTTTGGATTTAAGGTTTAATAAATGGTAGGGTTAATTCAGGATAAATTAGTTTTTGTTTTGTTTAATGAATGCTAGTTAAAAAAATTCTTCTTATTTGATATTTTGTGGCAAAAGAGTTGATGTTATTTATGATATTTATACAAGACAAAAAAAAGAAATGAATTATTTATTACTGTATAGTTCTTTTGTTTCTGAAATGTAGAATTTATTTTTATTCAATTATGTATAATCAATGAAAACATGGAAAATAGTTCATTATACTCTATTTTAAATATTTTAGTTTAGATGGGCGGTTGGAAAAAAAAATTTGTCAGAGAAAAATGATAAATTTTTTTAATTAAAAATATTACAGAGAGTGAGTACTCAAAATATTTCCTAGAAATAATCTATAAGCAGAGACATTGGATACAATGAATAGTTTTGAAAGGAAAAAATATTGTGCGAATCTTCTTTCAAAACATTTAATGTAGCCCAAGTGTTTGTTTCGTGGAAGCAAATGGAATATTACACCACACGAGGACACATGAGACCTAACCACATCTTTATCTACCAACTACAGTCCCACAAGTCTTTTGGTATCTTTACTCGTGTCAACTTCGAACCATGCTTTCCTGAAGTAGTATCAAAGCTCGGACCACTTGATCCATGGTTGGTCGTGACTTTGGTTCGTCCGAGATGCACTGCACAGCAATGCTTGCCATTCTCACTGCCTCTTCTGGTTTGTACTGTGAGTTAAGACGAGTGTCCACCATTAGTAGAACTTTTCGTCTACTTGTGAGGTATGGTCGAGCCCAGTCCACAAGGTTTTGCTCCTTGGTCGGGAGGCTATGGTCCAATGCTAGCCTTCCAGTGAGTATTTCTAGAAGCACCACCCCGAAACTGTACACATCACTTTTGGCATTCAAGTGACCTGAAAAGATAGAAAGATCAGAGGAGAAACAAGAACTAAAACGTCAGTGGTTTAAAGACTTCTACATGAATCTCAAGAAAAATTTACAAGAATTTCAAGAAACTTTCGTGATGATTCAAGAAAGCAAATGCGCAAAACAATTAAACAAGAAGGGATCGGTTACTCGTGAAAATTCACAATAATAATCAGTTTGTATATGAGACTGATAGAATGTACCTGTTGACACATACTCAGGGGCAGCATAGCCAAATGTACCCATGACTCTTGTACTAACATAGCTTGTTTCTCCCATTGGACCATCCCTAGCTAACCCAAAATCTGAAAGTTTCCCATTGAAGTCCTGTTCTCAAAAACATAGAACCAAGTCAGTACATTTCTAAGTCCATTTAAGACAACAATGAGACTTCGAAAAAAGCGTATACCGAATCGAGTAAGATGTTAGAGGCCTTGATGTCTCGGTATATGACTTTAACAGGGTCGCTATGAAGAAACGCAAGCCCCTTAGCTGCATCAAGCGCTACCTTAACACGTAAGGTCCAAGAGAGCGGCTTACACTTCACATCATCTACTTCAAAACAATTCAAACATAAGTACGAGCAATGTCCTAATAGTTTCAAAATAGTATGATTTATGAACTCACTTGTGAAGAGATGATCTTCAAGACTACCCTTGTGCATAAACTCATACACAAGCAGCCTATGTTCATCTTCAAAGCAATAACCAATCAGTTTAACTAAGTTCGGGTGACTTAACTGACCCAAGTAGTTAATCTCTGTCTGAACTCACAACAAAAACACATAAACAGAACAGAGTAAGATTAAAGAATCAAACAATGATAGTTTTAGACTGAAGAGACATAAGTGTGTACCAGCCATTCTCTGTGACCCTGAAACCCATCAGGGTTCAGACTCTTGACAGCAACTACAAGACCGGAGCTAGATTTAGTTGGAGCGAGAGTTGTCTCATCTATCAAACCTCTATAGACAGTACCGAAACCGCCTTCACCGACAACAGAGTCCGATCTGAAGTTTCTTGTTGCAAGTTTCAGTTCATTGAAGGTAAAGCTCTTAACGTTCGCTTTGCTAAGTATCTCTCCTTCTCTCTTATCCGCCACCGACGATGATGATGGAACACTCGAGAGGTGAAGGTCATAGAGACCACTGCTCTTGTCTACAGAAACACACACACAAAGCGTTGACCAAAGTCAAACTAAGGACAGATGAAAAAAGTAGAAACTCTTTTAGTTAAGATCACGTCAAGATTCTCGCAAAGTTAAGCCATTTCTCAAGAAAAAAAAAGATTCTCGCAAAGTTCATACTTTTTCTTAAAACCCATCATTAATAAACTGATAAGAGGTTGAATTGGAAGAGAGACATGGAAAAAACTCAAAATTTTCCGGGAAAATGTACGGAATATGAGATTAAGAAGGAGATGGAGAAAACTTACTGTCGACACGAGAACTGAAGCAAGAACCCATTAGTAAAGACTGAAAGCAGACAGAGAACAAGAGTTTTAACAAAGCTTGCTTTGCTCTTTCTGAAATGAAAATTGCTTTAAAGCAAAAAAAAAGACAATAAAAATGGCTTCTTGAGCTGGTTTTTTATGTAGAACAGATTGTTCAAGAGAGAGAGAGAGAATAAGATGTGTGGTGATGAGATAAAGAGAGACAACCAAAGAACTAAGGAGATGAAGAAGAAGAAGGTGTTCTTTGACTCCCAAGGCACATTCTTATACTTAACAAAAAATAAAGGCACATTCTTTTGTAATAATTTGATAATGGAGTTACTTTTCTCTGGTTTGGTTTTACTTTTTATAGACTGTTTTTTTCTTTCAATGTGAAAAGCTAGATATAGCTTAACGTACACAAGATCACCGGTGATATTAAAGTGTACAAGTTCGATGGAAAATAAAGCCTCTAATAAGTAGACTTGACTCAGATGGTCATGATATTTTGGAATCTTTGCCGGTCTTAATTCGTCGTGGTGGGGCTTGGATACAAAATTGTAGTACTATTTTAGGTTTTTCGATAATGTTATTGGTTTGGCAGAAACGCATACAAAAGCAAGTTTAGACTACGATTAAAGTAAAGCTTTGTAAGAAAATATCTACTTCTGTGTGTACAAATAGTACTCCATCCGTTTCTTAATATATGATGTTTTAGATTGGTGTACAAAAATTAAGAAAATTACATTATTTAAAAAAACTCTTTAAAAAATATAATATTATAATCATTTAACTAATTAAAAAAAATTGTAAAATTTTATTGGTTGAACATTTTCCAATAAAGTAAAGAGTGATTTAGTGAACTACCCATATTTGAAGCCTAAATTAGCAAAATACCATTGATTGGACATGAAGGACACAGACACAACCATTTGGTAAGAAAATGTCGAGAATGCCCTTTCTCTTTTCTCTCATTAACACGAAGCGTAAAAACATTTGTTAACATATAACACTTCTGTTAACGTCTACAATATTTGTTAACAACCAACACATTTATTACCGCGATGCGTAAAAATAATTGTTAACAGTTAACACTTCTGTTAACGTCTACAATATTTGTTAACAGCGAACACATTTATTAACGCGAAGTGTAAAAATAATTGTTAACAACTAACACTTCTGTTAACGTCTACAATATTTGTTAACCGCTAACACGACGTCGAATCTAAAACCCAGAAAATTGATATCATCAAAAAATTGAGGATTCAAAGCCACTTATGAAAAAATAATGAAATTTAAAATTTAGTTGTATATAAAATGATAGAGATTTGTAAAATAACTAGGGATTGAAGAGAAAAAAAAGGTCAAAAAATTGAGGATTCAAAGCCACTTATGAAAAAATAATGAAATTTAAAATTTAATTGTATATAGAATGATAGAGATTTGTAAAATAATTAGAGTTGAAGAGAAAAAAAAAGGGAAGATGTCAAGGAGAGGAGAGAGAGTGTAGAGAAAGGCATAATGGTCCAAAGAAAAGCAACAATCAAATCATGGTTATTTCGCTAATTATAGGTGTCAAATAGGGTACTTTAGCCAATTATCTCTAAAGTAAAAGTTAACCTTAAAAGTAAAAGTTAACCTTAAAACTTCATAAGATACTTTAAAGGGAAATTGCCAGAAATAACACTTTTAAAATATCACTTTTCAACTTTACACTAATCAACTTTACCATTAAAATTTTAATAGTCAAAATACTATTAGAATTTAGGGTTTAGGGTTTTGGGTTTAGGATTGATAGTTTAGGGTTTAGTGTTGATTTTTTAGTGTTTAAGGTTTACTTTTTAGGGTTTAGAGTTTAGGGTTTAAGGTTTAGAATTGATATTTTAGGGTTTAGGATTAATTTTTAGGGTTTAGGGTTTACTTTTTAAGGCCTAGAGTTTAGAATTGATGTTTTAGGGTTTAGGGTTAATATTTTATTTAATATTTATTTTATGTATATATATAAAGAACAATGATATAAGAGTCTTTTATCCTTTAATAAAATGTGAATTTTTTAAAATGTTTCTTTGTTGATGGTAAACATGAAAAGTGGTACCACCAAAGTGGTATAATTGAAATTCTCCCTACTTTAAAACTTCAAAATATCATATATTTTGAAATAATTTAAACCTTTTAAAATATCATATAATTTGAAACGGAGGGAGTATATGTTTATACAATTGTAGTAGGTAAGAAAAGTAGGATTTGGAAGAAAATTATACTCTCTTTTTTTTTTTTTCTCACATTCTAATATTTACAAATCATTTAATTTATTTCATAGTCAAACTTACGATTTTCAAATAACAAACCCAAAATATGCCATCACGGAAAGATGGATGACTTGTCAAAAACCTCTCTTTCTACGGTCACAATTGTTTGCTCCTTACGCTAATAAGCTGCAAGTCAACTAAATAATATAATACTCCGAAAAATCTGAATCCATATCTTTCTTAAAAGAATTACAAACACACTGGAAACTTAAAATAAGTAGAGTATTTTTCATTGTAAGGCAGATTCATCTTTTTTATGTCAACAAAAGACACTTCCCGCTCTTAGAGCAGTTGTTGGTGTGAAAAGACTTAAGTTACCCTTAAAAAGGTGTAACCAAGGGTGTTTTGTCGGTATTTTATTTAGTTAGGTTTGTGTTGATTTTTTTCTTTTGTTTCTTTTTCTTCTCTTCTCTCTCCTTTTGAAAGCGTGTAACCTTTCACTTTCCCCAGAGAAATCTTTGAAGAAGGAGGCGATTGCTAGGGTTCGATTGTGAGTTTGGGATAGTGAGAAAGGGAATATCGACAGCAAAAGAAGATAACTCGAGTTGGAACGATGTCACGGCGACGAAGCTTGCGGCTCGCCGGAAACGTCGAGGGTAATGTACCCGGAATTTCCATCTCGTTGGCGTAATTCTTTTTTTTTTTTTTTTGGGGCTTTCTAATATTTGTTTTTTTGAAAATCTGTAGGTGTTGAGATGGCTGAGAAAGAGAACCCGGTTGAGATGGCTGAGAAAGAGAACCCGGTTGGTGATTTACCGGAAAGGCTTTTCGCGACGGATCGGTTCCCTTGCGAGAGGGTGAACACGTACTCCACAATTGATTTCTTATTGACGGTAAGAGATGCATTAGATGGTTCACCCGAGATGAATGTTTTGATGGGTTCATGTTTTGGGAGTCTCTTTCAGATACCGGTGCGTAGGCTGTTGGCCGGGAAAGTGGTTCATGGAATGTTGACTAGACAGGTTGTCACGAAGAAAAAGTTTGAGATATGGCCTGTTTTCGGTGGTAAACCACTTCGTTTTTCTCTGTTGGAGTTTGGAGAAGTAACTGGGCTGCCTTGTGGTGAGTTTGAAGAAGGGTACAGTTATGATTACCAGCTTCCAGTGAAAGAAGAAAAGTTTGTGTATTGGGAGAAACTGTTAGGAACAACAAAGGATATTACTCTCAAGGAGATTGCTGCAATGGTGACAGTGGATAGGGTGATGCCTGGTTGGAGGAGACTGCGGTTGTGTCTTATACTTATAGTTGATGGGGTTTTGATGGCAAAATCTCAAAACCCAAGGCCAACACCCAAATATGTGAAACTTCTTGAAGATCTGGATAAGTTTTTTGCTTTCCAATGGGGCAGGGAAGCTTTTTTGTGTACTATTAGCACAATGAAGCCAGCACCAAAAGAGTTTGGGAAGTGTGAGAATCCGTTGGGAGATTTTTGTAAGAAGCTAAGGCAGCAGACAGTGAGAATGGTGGGGTTCCCTGTTGCGCTGCAGTTGGTTGCATTTGAAGCAATTCCACAGTTGCTGAATCGTGCTGGAGGGGATGATAGTGTGACTTTGATGAACTTTGGTGGAGATGTGTTGCCACAACATGCGGGGTTGACTGTCATCGATTTAAGAAGGGCAGAGCACGATCCTGGGGTAAGTATAACAGAGTATCTGAATTCATGTTTCTGAATTTGTGAGTTGTGTACAGATTAGGTGTTGTGGACATTTTTTTTTTTGTGTACGTTTAATAGTTTGCTAGATTTAGCTTAACATTGTTGTCTTCAGTAAACTAAAGAGTTATGTCAGTGTACATTTAAAGGTTATGGGGAAAATTAAAAGTTGTGTACATTTCGCTGCTTAGATGGGTGACTAATAGGTGTGTACACAAATATATGGTGTTCGAGATGTTTAGCTGAATTGGCAGTCGTGTACAATATTTGAAATTTAGGTGTGTATAGAGTGTACAGAGTATGTGGTGTACGTTTAAGTGTGGGTGTAGTGACAATAGTGTACATTTTTTGGGCATGTTGAAAGTAGTATTAGTAAATGCTAANGGATGAAGAAAAGTTTGATAAGAAGGTTGAAACAATGCTGAAGCTTGCGAAGGATGGGTATATATTCACAAAGGCTGACTGGGTTGGTGGGGATGCAAATGACCCACTGTACGATCATTCAGCGGCTGAGAAGAGAAAGAAACGACCAGGGAAGGTCGTTTGTGATAAAAAAGAAGAACCGATGCTGAAGCAGAGGCGGATTAGTGGGTTTGTGAAAAAGGGGAATTTTGTGGATGCAGAGCAACATGCTGCATTAGAGTTGCGCGTGGGGGTCCTAGAAGCAGAAATGATCAGGCTGACAAATGTGTGTGGAAAGCAGGCTCGTACATTAGAGAGGTGGAGAAAAATAAGGAAGGGGAAACAACTTCGAATGAGTTCAAAAAGAAGAGAGATGAGGAAGAGGGAGGAGAAGAAAAGAAATGAAGAGATGGACACTGATATCAGTGCGGAGGATGATGTACATGAGATGGAGATAAATGAGCCAATAACACCTTACGTGGCAAAAAGTGTGGTTCATGAGGTACCATTGTGCTATTTTACATTTTTGGTGGGTATTTTTCTGAGAACCATTGTGCTGTTTGACTCAGGGTAGTAGCTTGGATGAAGACGTCCCTGAAAAAAAGAAATTCGAAGAGGGAATCAGTGATGAGGTACATAAAAGGTTTAGACAAAATAAATGCGATTTAGACATGTGGTTGACCTTGTTCTCGGTCCTGCAGGAAATGGAAAGGTTGAATGTATTAGTTGGGGCTGCATCCCAAATAGGCGAAAATTTGGGAAGCGGGGGGATTGATGGGGCAGAGTATGCTGGAGTAGATGTACAGGTATGTTTGCTGACCTTTTTTTTGGGTACATAAAATGTGGTTGTTGAAAGGTAGTGATTTGGATTTTTATGTATATATACATCATAGGGGGGCGATTCTGGAGAAGAGGAGGGTGGTGGGGTGGCTGAAGAAGCAA